CACACACACACAAACACTCTCACACTCTGATGGATGCTTCAAGGGCAACTTGAGGTTCGGTATCTTGCCCAAGGGTACTCCAGCACGCGGACTTGAGGAGTCAATGATCAATCCACTGACCTTCTAATTAGTAGCCAACCCGCTCTACCTGCTGAGCCTCAGCCGGCAGTCAGACACCTAACCAGTGATGTTTGACTCAAAGACAAAAAGATGGCGGTTGCCAGCTTGGTACGGATTTCTTTGACTTACATGTCTCTGCTACGTTTTTTTTATGCTTTCTAACGATGGCGACATGATCAGTTTGAGGAATGCGTTCTGAAAAATAGTAACAATCACGTCTTTTTTTTCCTAGCCTTTATTGATAGGATAGTCAGGAGAACAGTAACGCAGGGGCCGAGTGGGAGAGCGACACGCAGATAATGACTCGAACCCAGGCCTCTGCAACAGCCTTTCCACTTACAGGTCGCCTTCTCGAGTAAGCGAGCCACACCAGTTCACCCAAAACACCGTTTGAATGAGGTGACTGCCGGCTACGATCAGTCCAGACATCCGGTGCCAGCTAAATGCCACTCAGTTATAATGCGACTCGCCAGGAGTGGCAGCCTATCCAGAGTTCTACTTGAACTAGCAGGCAGATTAGTCTGTAGTGGAGAATCTCAACTTGAAACAAAAATTGATTCAGTGTAAGAAAAAGAAACTTAATTAAGGCCGATAAGGCATTCAGCTGATGATCTCACGTCAGCGGACTGTGACACCTCTGACTTTGATAAAGGTTACAGCCAACAGGAAGCTACGAAGAGGTCACATTTAATCCTGCCTTTGGATCTGTTCTCATACCAGGGTTTCCCATAAAAAAAATCTTTTGTATTAGCATTCTCCTGCGCTTTTGTAAAGGCCAGGGGGTTGTGATACATTCCTATTCAACTTAGCTAAGACAATACCCCAGATAGCTTACCGTTCCCTGGATTCCAAGAGGCTGCCTTCTGAATAAAGGAAGCATTTTTCCGTCTCCCTCCCTCTCTCCCTCTCCCCCTTGCTGTCTTTCTTTTCCCCTGTGCGGTTGTGTAAAAGAGCTTACGATGGGCTTTAGGGAATTTCTTTGATGCCATAGGAGTTGTTGGACCCCGAAGGCTATACCTTCAAAGCTGGTTTAAATAACACGCTAATCGGCAGAAATCTGTTCACAAGATTATCATGCAGAGAGCGGAGCGCGCGCTCTCTCGCAGACAAAAGCTCGAGACGGGCACACGCAGCGTGACGCGTAAACACAAACACAGACACAATGACTGCAGAAATATCCTTCTTTGAAAGCGCACAGAATAGATCTCATTATCAGCTTGAGCCTAAAATTATAGCAAGGCTTTTTAAAAAGGGTTCGAGATTCGCTTTAAAGCGAGAGAACCAGC